AGGACACAGAAAGGAGGGGCACCGGGGAGGGCCGACTCGCCCTGTCTGCCTGTCCTCGGTGCTTGGGTGCGTGTCTCCCTCCCCGGTCCCTTAGGATCCGGGGACGCCAGATGGGGCTTTCAGCGGGAAACGCGAGATGAAGGTGTCCGCGCCTTCGAGAACGCACCTTGTGGAGAAACGTCTCTGGAGAATACCAGAGTCTCTTATGTTCCTTTTCTCTGGGGAAGACAGCATGTAAAGTGCTGCAGATGCAGCCACGAACAGGCTGGGCCGTCCTCGCCTGCATGATTCCTCCAGCTCTGCCCATGAGCTGTGGACGGAAGCTTTGAGCGGGTCTGAGGAACGGGCCGTTCTTACAAGAGCGGGCGAGGTAGGAGGTTTAGAAGGCGCGGACACCGCTTCTGTTCCTCGCATCCCCTGAGTCTCGCTGCCTTTGCGGAAAGGACCCTGGCACTTGGCTCTGGAGACCCCGCCTCAGCACCCAGCGGCCCCTCCCTGGGCCCACACACACGGGTTTTATGGTGGGCGATGGCTGTGCTTTTCTTTCCTTCTTGTTGTTTCAGAGTCTGAATCTCACTCCGTCGCCCAGTGCAGTGGCCTGCTCACAGCCACCACAGCCTCAGCCTGCTGGGCTCAGGCAGTCCTCCCGCCTCAGCCTTCCAAGTAGCTGGGACCGCAGGCCTGCGCCACCACACCCAGCGCCTTTTTTTATTTATCGGAGAGATGAGGGCTCACCAAGTTGCCTGGGCGGTCTCGGACCCCCGGACTCAGGCAGTCCTCCCGCCTCAGCCTCCCAAGGTGCTGGGCTGACAGGCTTGAGCCCCCGTGCCCGCCCGGCTGTGCTTTTCTTGAAACAGCCTTCGTGCCCAGGCTCCGTTGTCCTCGGCTTCTTTTCGACAGTCGCTGGCTGATGCTCTGGGACACTGACTTCTTCCTTTGAATCGGGTCTTACGAGGCTCCTCAAAAACATGTCCAGATCTGGCTTTAGATCTGAAGTCTCCAAGCTTAGCCACTTAAATGTTGATATTTAGCATGATTTTTTTCTTCACTTCCAAAAAATGGGCTACAGCCGAGTTGAGTTGTCGTGGACGTGAGCATTCTTTCAATATGAGACCCGTGGTGGACACATGGACGAATATCAGTGTAGTAGCCTTTGTGTTTGGAATGTAACTGGTTCCAAGGGCAATGAAGTCTAAAATTTCTTGTTCATATAAACGGTTTGTTGGGGCTTTTTTCTTTTCACGGCATTTTGAGGAGCTGGAATCACTTTGTGAGTCTCCTCCCCTCTTACCTTGACTTACATCACGTGCAACATCAAAGTTCACTTGCTTTGCTCCCCACAGCTAGAGCATCAAGCCATCCAGATTCTCTGGCCCCAGTGTTCCAGCCTTTTGCCTTCCCTGCGAGGCAGGGGAGGCTGGGTCAGGAAACACCGGGCATTCTTCCCAGGAGTCCTCTCCGAGTGTCCTCGCCTGGTCAAGCCACGTCTTCTCCTGGTGAGAGTCAGGCGAGGAGGCCACGTCTGAGGATGAGCTGCAACTCTGGGCCACAAGAGGCCACTGGTCATGCCCATGCAATCAGGAGCAGCCCGGTGTTCGTCATCAGTGTGTTTATGTGGTTCCTTTCTTTCAAAACGAGGGGCTCCCGGTGGGGAAAGTGGCTTCGATTCTCACTGAAGAGGCGTGTTCTGCCGAAGGCCCGGTGGACACTGGGCGCAAGCATTGTCCACTGAGGTGCACCTATCAGTTAAGAATACTCACCCCCCCACACCCAGCTTCTAGACTGACACCCAGACTCACCCCACTCAGCTTCTAGACGAGACCCAGACTCTCCTACCCAGCTTCTAGACTGAGACCACGCGGGCTTGCCACTGGGGTTGTCCATCTGAACACCTTAATTAGCAATGAGCATTAGGTGTGGATGGGTCAGAGTGAGCTGTGTGCTTTAAAACTCAGATGGAATCGTGTTTTTACTTTTCAGAAAGCATGTCTTCCTTAGGGGCTAGTGGGAGAAGAGCCAAGCCCTGAGCGGGAGGTCCCAGCATGGCCATCTGTGCCCCGGGCTCTCTGCGAGTGCTGGTTTTTTGGGGCAGTGCTGGGTCACCTACAGTGGGACTAGGGTTTGGGAACTGGCAGAGGGTGGACCAGCCTGCGTGACAGCTGGCCAGGAAGGAGGGCTTTTTATTTTATTTATTTATTTATTTATTTATTTTGAGTTGGAGTCTCACTCTGTCGCTCAGACTGGAGTGCAGTGGCTGCTCCCGGCCACCGCAGCCTTGCCTACTGGGCTCCAGCGATCCTTCTGCCTCAGCCTTCCGAGTAGCTGGAACTACAGGCACACGCTACCACGCCCGGCTGATTTTTTGATTTATTGTAGAGATGAGGTCTCGCCAAGTTGCCCAGGCAGGTCTCGAACCCGTGGGCTCAGGCAATTCACTCACCTCAGCCTCCCAAAGGCACGGGATTGCAGGCTGAGCCACCGAGCCCGGCTGGAGGGCTTTTTAAAAAGACGCAGGTGTGTCTGGGCCCCAAGAGGTGGTCATTGGGAGCACAGAAGATACCAAGGCTGCAAGTCAGGACAGCTGTAATAGGTGCGGAGCAAAAACTCTGTCAGTTTCTCATCAGGGTCTTCCTCACCAACGTGTCCCAGAACAAATAACCCCATCAGCCTCTCTTTCTGGAAGTCACCACCTAAAAAGTTAGCATCTTTTAACCAAGGTGTTAAAAAGTGATCATTTGCAATCTTGTTGTATCTTCTAATTTGTCTACAGTGAATATATAGCACAATTATAGTAAGAAAAAGTGATTACTTGAAATTTAAAAGATTTTAAGTCGCTCCCATGCCCACTACCTGTCAAGTTGACTTTGCCGACCTGACATAATGTCTCAGCGGGTGGAATTTATCAGAAGCGGTTCTGCCTTCTGCTGCTTCGAAGCTTTGTTGCCCATGAGAGACAGAGGCAGGGACCCTCTGTGATGTGCGCCAGGGGCCCCAGCCTCCATCTGACGCAGCCCTGTCCCGGGCCCCCGTGCAGGTGTCCTCACCTGCCTGGCGGTTTTGTGATGGGACTGTCTCGATGCGGAGGTGTCGGGATACGGACTTCTTTGTCGCTTGCCTGTGAACACGGATCGTTTGTGAGCAGTTCCATGAGTTATGTGGAATGAGCGTCTGCTCAGTGGAAAAGAAACATGAATCGGTTCAGATTTCATGGGGCTGACGGAGCCAAACCAAACACAGGCTTCCCCAAAGCATCCAAGCTTGAACGGAAACTTGCGCTCTTCAGAACATTGCCGCCTGGTTCTCGCCCACGCCTTTTGCAGATACGTCTCAGGGCAGTCTGAAAGGAAAATGTTAGACGTGTCCACTTGTGATTTCAACTGTTGCTTGTGGCGTGCCAGCAGCACACATCAAGGGCCCTGGTGCGTGTGGAGGCATGGGCTGCTTAGGGGGGCTGCTCGGCGGCAGGGGGCAGAGGAAGCCAGGCCCACCGTGCAGCCACAGGGATGCACGGGCAGGTACGGAGTCAGCCGGCTGCATGTGGTGTGGCACGAGCCGCCCGTGTCAGAGTGAGACTAAGACCCAGGGTGCCCGTAACCCTGGGCCTGCCCTCCTCACTCTCTTCCTCAGAGAGGCCCTCTTGAACCCAGGAGAACAACCACCACGATTGACTTTTGAAAATAACTTCGTGAAATTTTATTTCCAACAGGTTTGACTGGTGTCAAGGGAGAAAAAGGAAACCCAGGCGTTGGAAGTCAAGGTCCAAGAGGCCCCCCAGGACCAGCAGGTAAATCGCCAACAAGAAGGGGCACGATGCACCTGTGTGTTCACTCGACATTGCAGGGGAGAGGGTGGCCATGTTGCACCTTCATGTCTAGCTGGCTGTATTTCTCATTCCTTTTCTTGGGAGTCTACTCTGTTAGTGACCATCCTCCCACACGAGACCAAAAGGCGGCAGCATATTCTGGGATCTCCTTGTTGGCATCCGTTAGGACAGGACAAGCTGTGGTCACGCATGAGACCCAAATGCTGAGTGGATGGGCACGGTGAGGCTTTGTTTCACACTGGCACAAAGCTTGACGTGGGTGGAGTGGCTCTCCTCCCTCCGGGAAGCCACGGCCTCTGCCATGAGTCCTGTGATCTCCAGGAAAAGGAGGCCGTCAGCTTCACCTGCCTAAACCGAGCGTGTGTCACTTCCTGCATGCTTTGCTTCTGGAACTAGCCGCACAGCCCACCTGGCCTGCAGGGGAGATGCAGTCCAAGGGCACAAGGGCACCTGGTCGGCACTCGTTGTTCCTGCTGTGGCACCTTGCTGAATGAGATTGCGGACGCTTTGAGTTCTGTGCGCCTTGTGCTTTCGGAATGGTCTCCGGAACCCCAGACGTGTTATTAGCATCCTATTGTAGGCTGGGCTCTGTGGCTCAGCCTGTCATCCTAGCACTTTGGGGGCCAAGGTGAGTGGATTGCCTGAGACTCCCACGGGTTCGAGACCTGTCCGGCAAACCTGGCAAGACCTCGTCATACAATAAATCAAAACTCAGCTGGGCATAGCAGTTCGTGCCTGTAGCTCCGGCTACTTGGAAGGCTGAGACAGCAGGTCGACGCTGGGGTGGCCGTGAGTGTGCCACTGCCCTCCAGCCTGGCGACGAAGTGAGGCTCTGACTCGAAGAAAAAGAAAGAATCCTATTGTATATTTTTAACCTCAGTCTAAGCCATGTCGAGTCAAATGCCTCACAGACTTTTCTTCTCGACCTAATAATGGACATACTTTTTGAAAGAGAGGTTAATGCAGCAGATTCATTTTGAGTGTAAATACTTCCACGGCTGGAGGCAAGCTCCTGTCACATGTGGCACATGATGGGTGACCGGTGAGGACTGCTTGGTTGGAGCTGTGAGTGTCAGAGCACCCCCACACCTCCACAGCGCTCAAACCTGAGGCGATGCTTGTTCCTACTTTTCATCTCAGTCCTGGCTGGAAAGTCTCATTTCTGCCTGAAAAATGCCTTTAAACCTTGTTGGAACCCAGGCCTAAAACAAGCAGACAAGCCAGAAAACCCAGGCTGATAGACTTCTTACATTCATAATATATATTTTTTTACTCAGTCTAACTTCTCAATTAGGATGAACTGGATTTAAGATATTTTGGGTTAGCACACTGGGCCGAATTTCAGACTTGTCATCTGTCTCCCCTCCAGGATAATACCCTGCAGACTCAGACGGATCTATCTTAATTACCTGGGGCCGTAAGCCAGTACCGATTGGGATGATGAGGTTGTTTGTGTGTGTGTGTGCATGTGTGTGTGCACGTGTGTGTGCACGTGTGTGCATGTGACTCACAAGGAGTTGCACTGGGAAACAAAACCCCACCAAAAACAAGGTTGCAAGCAGAGCGTTCCTTTTCTCTTACTGTCCGAGAGGTGAGAGAAAAAAGTGCATTTGGCTTCCTGGCTTCCTGAGCTGCTTCGAGGTACAGGCTTCCAGGAGAAGGGGACTTCGGTGTGGTCCTCTGCCTAGGAGTTCAGTTTGGGAAGAGTCCAGTGAGGAGAGAGAGGCAGACTGTCCTCACTGTCAAGATGAACAGGCGGCTCCTGGTAGGAGTCTGCCTGCTTCTTGGTGGCCGCGCCTCGCTGTGGCAAAAGACCGACTGTTTTCACCTTTGGGTGCTTCTCAGGACCTTCGGGGGAGAGCCGGCCTGGCAGCCCGGGACCCCCTGGCTCTCCTGGACCCAGGGGCCCTCCAGGTCATCTGGGGGTCCCCGGACCCCAGGGTCCTTCCGGCCAGCCTGGGTACTGCGACCCTTCGTCCTGTTCGGCCTACGGCGTGGGAGGTAAGTGCTAGCTCGTGCGGGTTTTGAGCGACATTTTGCTTGGGTTGCCCCAAAACGGGCGGAGGCCGTGAAGGGTAGACCCGTCATGGGTGGGAATGGGGAGAGCCCCGTGAAGGGCACGCCAGAGCTGGCACTCCTGGCTCTCTTAAGTTACCCAGAGCCATCTTCATAAGTCGTACATGACCCCGGAGGGCACGTGTCTAAAAGGCTTCCGAGATTGGATGAGATCACACATGTTCAGGGCGGTATGGCCACTGACAGCCTCTTCCAAAACCTTGAGAGGCATTCAGAGGCACAGCATGTCTGCATCTTCCTTGCATTCGGACGGTGGTCCACACAGATTGGCCTCTGACTCCGTGCTAGGCCATGCTGGACCTGTGGCTTGGGGACTGTCTTTTGGTGCCCAGCTCTATGCGACTGCTGTGGCGTGGCCATGACTGCCTGTACAGTGTGCTCTTGTTCCGGGGAAACCTCGGACTTGGAACTTCCCCGTAATCAGGAGGACGGCCTCGATTCTCGGGTGACAGGTGACATCCTGCCTGTCACATGCATTTTAGGTGACCAGGGGTGGCTTTAAGAGGAAGCAAAAGTCGCCGTGCTCTTTGCCATCACTAACCACTGGCCTGAGGTGATGCTCCCCCCACAGCTGCATGCCCGCATGCTGGGCCTCGGCCCCTCTTCTGACGTAGCGTGAGAGGCTCGAGACTGGGCAATGAGCTTTTTGGTCACTGAGTTGAAACGCTCTGCTTCGGAGAAATGTGACCTAGTGACAGAGGACGTGGCCCGAGTTTTGCTGATGTGTTTTTCTCTGTTCGTCTTTCCCTCCCTTCCTCTCAAACCCCCACGCCGTTAAGATCTGATCCCCTACAACGATTACCAGCACTGAAGTGGACACCTCCACTCGGGTGACGCTGGCCCAGGCGTCTGGCTGTGGATACAGACCCGTCCTGCCACCCACCTGCC